AAATTTTAAAAATTTTGATTTTGAAAAACACGAATTTACAACGTACGTTTTTGTTATTACTTATTCGCCTTATTTATCAGAAATTCCCGACTATGATATACTCAGACACTTACCACAAAATGTCCACATATTTGTCAATTTTATTTCAAAAGAGACAGAAAGTCTCCCATATATCACACAGGAGTACATGAATTATTCATTTGGTGATAATGTAAGTTCTGAATTCGTTTATGTTCTTTCTGATTTTGGGGGTGGTGCGAACGAACTAGAAAACATCATGTCAAAGTGTCTGCAAACCAAATTAGAAATTAGTAATCCTTGGATCCAAGAATATGGCTTTATGGTCAAACAAACAATTGAAGTTCCCGATATCTGCTTTGATTTGTCAAATAGCGAATTGATACAAGAAATTACACTGAAAAACGTGAATGCTAAACACGTTGTTCTTCCTATAAGAGTCAAAAAGATCGCAATAGAAAATGTCGAAGGAGAAATAGTGATGGAGAAATGCACACCACATGCTATTCGAGTTTGTGGGTATACTGGGAAACAACTTGTTTTAAATGATGAAAAATTGAGTGTTGTGGAATATAGAGACGTATTAAACGGTGTCAATTTTATTCACAACAACATGTTGTATAGTGACAAATACGTCATCGACTTGGATAAAATTAAGAGCATTGATATTGATAGATTACCAACTGTAAAATGCGTCGTTTTTATAAAGAACAATAAAACACTTTTTGAAGGAAATCTGTCGGCTGTACATTTCAGAGAAGACTCTCTTAGTATCGAAAACCTTGCAAATGACATCGACATTACAGAGTTCGGTGTTAACTCCTTTAGTGTTTTTAAAACTTCAAATACACCAAATATGGTATTGGGAAATGTCTGTTTTCTTACTATTATGAAAGGAGAGTTTAATTCAATTTATATCGGTGACTGTCAAACAATTACTTTAAGACAGACGAATATTAAAAAACTTGATATTAATGTATGTAATACTTTCACTTACAAAAGCTCTAAAATCACAACCGTGAAGGGTAAGAAAATCGAGTCTATTAATGGCACAAAAAAGGCGATTAAAAATTGGGAAATTGAGAATTCAAGTGGAATTAACAACTTAAAGGAAGTGAATAATTAATTGTTACGAAAAATAATATTTCTTAGATTTAGGTCATTTGAGTGTTAAACAACATCGAAAATAGAAATTAACAAATTTGATATAAAAAACAAGCAAAAAAGAACAAAAATTACAACAAAAATATAGGATAATTGTTTATAAAAACAAAAATAAATAATAAAAGCCGCATATCGGATAAGTTGAACTTGATAAATAATGTTTAACAAAATCAATAAATAACAACAATGACAAGTAAAACAGTGTAAAATTGGTGTTCATCGAATTAACGCAAATTTAAAAAAAATATGTTAATATTAAGAAATATCAAGAGAAAGTAAATATACATATTAAACAGACAAAAATTGTTGAAAAAACTGAGTACGTCATATAATTAATAAAATATAAATGAATTTTATAGATTCATAGTCGGTATTTAAAAAGTTTCAAATTGTTTCAAAATGATTATTGTATTATGATGTTTATATCAATTGTCAGCGACGTGTTTATGTTTCACAATCCAGTTTGAATTTCATTTCAACTTAAAACAAATTCACTGTTAGTACGTTGTCACAGTCCGCGTGTAATAAGTATGGCTTTGGCCTAATACATTAACAGTAACACCTTTAATCAAT